TTATTTTAGCAACCTGGCTATGGCAATGACCTCAGTGCCATGTAATTGTCAGTCTTTTTCTTATTGCCTTTACTTTCTACCAGGGGCAGGAATATCTCTGCATCATTCCTAGCAGGTAGTTTTGTAATTCCAGTGATAAGAATGCTCTTCCTGAAATCTTGAGCTACTTCTAGTGAAACCCCAAGCTATTTACTATAGGATTGACTCCTTCATTAGCATATAATTCTATGTTAATAGTAACTCCACACTAATAGCAATAATCTAAGTAATCCCTCTTATTTTTACTATTCATAAAGTGCTTTCACAAATATCTTATTTGATCCCGAGGACAGCCATTTAGAGAAGTATGGGAAGGCAATAATTTCAATTTTGCAGATGCAATAACTGAGGCTAGAATATTTGCCCGAGGTCATGGAGTCACCAAATAATCCAGGACTCCATTATAAAAAAACTGCAGAGGGAGCTGCTTGTCCATTGAGGGTCTGTAAAACCATCCATAGGACCAGAAAAAAATATTTGTGGTATTTATTTTTTATCTCATCCTTTACATTTATCTACATTTTGTTTGTTTTCCAATTAATATGTTAGGATAACAGTACTTATCTCTGTTATAAAATATATATATATACATTCTATGATGATTGCAAGTAAAACTTTAAACTTTTAATTAAAGTATACATGTAGAAAAGTCTAATATCCCAAGTGCACAGCTCAAGGAATTTTCATGAACTGAACACAACCAGGTGAGCAGCAACCAGACCAGGAAACCTCCACCCCCAGCCCGCCGTTCCCTTCCATTACCACCACGCTACCCAGCTCAGGTGTCACTCACTTCTACAGCGCAGACTCACTCTGCCAGCTTTTGAGTGTTATACAAATGATAAAAATGGAACCATGCAGTATGTTTCATATTGAGCAGACGAAATTGTCAACATTCATGTTTTTGATCTTCATAAATGGCAACTCCATAAGGTTCATCCTAATAATACCTTCTATGTGTCTGTGTCCTCTTCCACCTCCCCACTTAATTTGTGAGATTCATCTGTATTGTGAAGCTGTACCCCATTCATACATGTTGCTCTGTGCTATTCCACTGGATGAATACACCACAGTTTATTTGTTCATGATGGGTGCTGACTTGGGTAGTTCACTCTTTGTCTCTTACGAATGACACAAGAAAGGATGTTTTAGTACCTGATTACCTGCAACCACCTACAAGCCTGGTGCCCAGGAGAGGAGTTGCTCATCATTGGTTATTCATACATACACTCAGCTTCAATAACTGTTGTCAAGGGATTTTCCAGATTTTCCAGAGTGACTACACCAATATGCATTCCGACAACCCCACAGACATGGTATATTATATCTTTTTAATTTTAGCTATTCTGGTGGGTGTGTTATAGTGTTCCACTGAGGTTTTTTTTAAAGATTATTTTTATGTATTTAAGAACTGGGGTATCGGCCAAAGGTATGGGGGGGTGAGAGGACCCACCAGAGACAGAGTGGGGAGCAGAGCAGGTAGATGTACTGAAATACACTGCTGAGGAGAGCAGCAGGCGAGACAGGAGAGGTCTGCTGCGCCATATGGGTCAGCTCCCTGGCCGGGGATAGAACTTGTTCTGCAGTAGCTGCTGATAGCTTCATAGTCTGAGACTTAACCCCTTGTTCCACCAGGGAGGCCCTTCCATTTAGGTTTTAATTTGCATTTCTCTGATGAATAATGAGGTTAAAACTTTTTCACAGGCTTGTGGGTCATGTGCAAATATTTTTTAGTCATCAGTAGTGCATTATACAATGCGTTGAGGCTTGGGAAGAATAGGATATTTGCTCCAATAATGTAGATTGTTTCTCATAGGGGAGGAAGTTCCCATCATCTGGTGCTATGACGGGGGCGGGGGTGGGAGCAAACCAAGGGGAGAGACCAGACTTTCACTCCTCATCTGTGCCAGGGTCTACCCTCGCTTTGAATATTTCTTGTCCTGAGTCTCTGGGGAAGATGCCACTTCAGTGACTGGCAGCAAAGGCTGATTCGCTACATCCACTTGAATCCCTTGTATGTAATTTAAGTACAAGAGTAGATGGGACTTAAAGAGATTGAAAATAAATCCAGCCCAAATTTCCTATGGCCTTCTTGCCAGGCATTTGACCTCTGCTTGTGCATTTCCAGCGGTAGTGAACTCTCCATTGCACGAGCATTTGCTGGGCCATCTGATCTCTGATATGAGCAGAAATCTATCTTCCTCTGTCCTGTACTCATTGGTTCCTGCTCTTCCCTCGGACCGCATGTGAAAGGTCTAAAGATGGCATCATGTACCCACTAAGCCTTCCCACCTGAGGATGGAACACCCCATCCTTCAGTCACAGTTCACAGGACAAGGCTCTGGGGTCCTTGCTTTCTGCTCACATTCATTTGGATGAACTACCCACAGGTCAGTGTCTATCTCTACATGCAGCGTCTGGATGAGGCTCCAGAGGCCCCTGACCTGCAGCACTCCTTGCAGTTGCTGTTCTGTCTGTACTAACACTTGCTTCCCCGCTGCATCGCTGACTCTGTCCCATCATTCATGCTCCCAGACTTCACCTCCTCAGCATGTTATAGGACAGGGAGAGGGGCAGCCCAAACCCCGCAAACCTGCCTATTCTAAATGGGTTCTGCCATCCGCCGCATCAACACAAAACATAGGAGACTTTAATGGGAAGGAACTTTAATAAAACTAGGAAACAATACAGGTAAGGCAAAGAGTCTAGTTTCTAAATGAAGCACCTAAAGTTACCCGTCCCCTCGTGGGTAAAAGTCCATCCAAATGGGATTGGTCCAGAACAAGACCCCAAAGCCTGCCACAAGTCTAAAGCATCTTCCAGTGGGGACCCACAGCAAAGGGTCACAAACAACCGGACAAGCCCAGAAGGAAAAGAGCAAAATCAACATCAAGATAAAAGCTGCCATGGTCACCTCCCCACGGGTCTCACCCACATCTGTGTCACCCAGTCCACGACCAAAAGACAAGCGCAGTTTCTTTACGTGTCTCTAGGCTCCATGTGCCTCCTCCAGGTCTCCTTCTGGCTCCATCCTGCTTCCTTCCTTCCTCAGTCTCTTCTCCCGCTTCTCCTCTTCCTGCTCAGCTCCACCCTCCCTTGGGTGGGGCAGGGAACCTGGAACTTCCCCCTTTCCTGGGGACCACCCTGTTACAAGCAGACCTTTCCAGGCCACCCAAATATAGAGCACCCCTCTTTGCCAAGCACCATCGTTTTATTTTTGATGTTTTGTCTTTTATGCATTTTCTTGCTTTTTGTCTGCCGTTCCCCCATTCATGTAAGCTCTGCGGGAAGGAGCTCTATGGTCTGGTTCACCCCTGTGTCTCTGTGCTTCGGTCAGTGTTGGAGACCCCTAAGGCGAGAGGAGAATGTCAGGGTCGTGACTGGAAGACTGGTCAACATGAGCTGGAAGACTGGCCCATGTCCACACCATGACGTCCTTTCCTGTATCAGCAAAGCTAGGCCTGAGAAACAGGCAGGATTAGAAAGGGAATAGAATAGGGCCTCCCCAGTGGTGCAACAGTTGAGCGCTGGGCTACGAAGCTGCCCGCAGCCTCTGCAGCACCGGTTCCATCCCTGGCCACCAGCGAGGGTCTCACATGGCGTGCAGACCTCTCCTGCCGCCTGCTGCTCCCCTCAGCAGTGTATTTCGTCAGTTTGCCTGTTCTGTTCCCCACTCTGGCTCTGGTGAATTCTCTCACCCTCCCATGCTTCTGACTGTACCCAGTGCTTGTATAAATAAATAAATCAATCTTTAAAAAAAAAAAAAAATGGGAGGGCCTCCCCTGGTGGCGCAGCGGTTGAGTGCTGGGCTGTGAGGCTGCCCGCAGCCTCTGTAGCACCGGTTCGTTCCCGTTCCCGGGCCGCCGGTGAGGGTCCCACAAAAAAAAAAAAAAAAAAAAAAAGGGAATAGAATATAGCTGACAACGCAGAACCTTGGCGGTGAATGTGTGCCCGGACAAGGCTAAATACTAAGAGAACGATTCATTGTCTGGTAACTAACAAGGAGGGGAGGGGGGTGATTGGTATCAATAAAAATGAGTTGCACGGGGCACTTGGGACGCTTGAGCTTGGAAGGAGAAGCCTTGCGTCCCCTGGGTCCCACTTCTTTTAAACTCTATTTTGTGTCTGTCATTTCTTTGTTTCTCGGTTCTTTCAGATTCCTGTCCTCAACCCTGTTCACCGGAGCTGGTCTCCGACAGGTCAGTGCTTGGCACATACACGCTTTCAGTGATTTTTATTTTTAAAGGAAAGAACAGACGTGGTGGAGTCTAAATTTGAATCCTGGAGGTCCTATTCCTAGCCCATGCCCTGAACCACCTTGCATATAGCCCCCACTCCATCAGTTACTGAACTCTTTTGCCCATTTCCATTTCCCCGCCTAGATTAAACACTATGTCTCTGTGCTCTTGCCTCCTGCAGCACGGAGCCTTGATCCCAGTGAGCCAGGCCAGGTCTGATGCCGAGTGCCTCTGTGGCCAGCAGATGGTGCTGTTGCGAAGGGAAAAGCTGTCCCCAGGGTTTTTCCTGAAGGGTCTGCTGAGGAGGAACTGGTTGGGGAATGAGGAGATGGGGAGCTTGAGGTTAGATGGCCCTGCAGGCCTGCCTACCTTGCTTCCAGCCATCTCCATGTGTGAGGCAGGTGTCTGTGAGAGAAGGAAGATTTGCCAGGAGTGGGCACATCCAGACCTGCTGATCATTGGCCAGGATGTCAGACCTCAATGTGGTTGGCTGTGAAGAAGCCTAGGGCATAGCAAGACTTGGGGGCTTCCAACTGCCTCTCTTAGACAGAGAGGAGACATAGGTCATTCACACACAAGGCAGCTGCACAGGACTGTGGTCCCTAGAAACCAGAGCAGATGCATGGGGCCAAGCTGAAGGGCTGCAGTGGCCTCCCTATATACCTAGGACATGGACTTGACATCATAGAAGACTTCCTGGAGGAGGTAAGCTAAAAACCCATGGCCTGGCAGACACAACCAGGGAGGAGTGGGGATTGGAAAGAGGCAGAGCAGGTAGAAAGGAAGCTGTGATGGGTTGTTAGGCATGTGAGCACATGGAACAGGTGGACCATTCTAGCTCAGGAGAGAAAGCAGGCCCAAATGGCAAAGCAGAAAGAACTTAAAGGGGTAGACTAAATCCTGACTGGGAAGATTGGATTTGGAAGGAGTGAGGAATCACTACAAGGTGTGTAATGCCAACAGTCAGGCACAGAATGGACAAAGGAGAATCCTGGAGCCCTCTGTGGCTTTTTCAGGCTTTTAATGATTGTTCTACAGCATTTATAGTGAGGCGACCAGGTGCAGGGCAGGGAGGGGGGCCAGGGAGGCCAGGAGGCTAGCAGGCCTCCTAGCGAGTCTTCACTCTCTCTGGACTCTCTGGTATTCTCTACCACTCTCTGCCACACGATCCTCTCTGATGGCCCTTCTCCAGCGCACTCCTCCACATGGTCCTCTGCCGTGTTGTCTTCTGTGACGCTGCCCATATATGCTCTGCCTCCAGGCTCAGGTGTGCCTACTTACCCTTGCCCACACCAGGCTCCAGGTGCCGCCATCAGGCATGCGTGCCCCGAGCCCACACTCCCAAGGGCCTCCTGCATTCAGGGCTGCAGGTGATAGCCACAGAGGCCAATGGTGCAAAATCCTGAGCAATATTCATTTACTCTACAAGGTGCCACTTGGGGAGGAAGTATTTGTGGGCCCCAAAATATATATACTCCTAAATTTGAAGGAACCATGTCCCCTCACTGATCTGTTCACCTCCTTTCTTTTAGCCTCTAGCCATGGTCGCGTGGCTGGTCCCCAGGATCTTGGGCCCCTAAAGGACTTCCAAGTGATGTTCTAGATAATCAGTATAGCTTCTGTCTCCTGACTTCAGGACCAGGTTTTCTGAATGCCCTCTATCCCTGGGTCCCCATTCTGTCCAGAACTAGAGTTCCCAGGAACTAGAGTTAATGAGTCTCAGCTCTAATTCAGAAGGAAGCTTAGTGCTCGCACCTGGTTATCAACCCTGGTCACACAGCTCCAGCTCTGGGTGAAATGATATGTCCAAAGGCAGTTTGTAGGGTAAGGGAAAAAATGTCAGGCTTTTCTGCCCTCCCGCCATCAGGATAGATGATGGATCCTTGCGGGCCTGAATGCATGCCTGATGGCGGACATCTGGAATAGGGTGTGGGCATAGGTAGATGATATTCACCTGGGCTGAGACTGGGCTTTTAAGGGCGGCATCACAGTGACGCCAGTAGAAGCTGAGGAGAAGCCGAAAGAGAAGCCAGGGGAAGACCAGAGAGCCCAGATAGAGTGAAGACTTGCTGGGGGCTGGGAGGCCTGCCAGCCTCCTGGCCCCCCAGCACCCTTGCTTGCTGTGTACCGGGTGAACCCCAATAAAAGACCTGCAAAACCCCTGAGGACTCCTGACTCCTCCTTTGCCCGGTCTGCTGGATCATAGAAAACCTGCACTGTGTCCATTCCTGCCTCTACACAGTTCCTGTCATGTAGTGGCAGGAATGGGTACAGTGCAGGTTTTCTATGATTCCAACAGACAGGTGAAGGAAGAATCCTGGAGCCCTCAGGGGCTTTTCAGGCTTTTATTGGGATTTACCAGGTACACGGCAGGCAGAGGTGCTAGGGGGCCGGATGGCTGACAGGCCTCCCAGCCCCCAGCAAGTCTTCACTCTCTCTGGGCTCTCTGGCATTCTCTGGTGGTCTCTGCTGCTCTTTCACTCTCCTGCTTCTTGTGGTTCTGCTGCTTCTTTTCTCCTTTCTTTTGCTCTAGTTCTCTCGTTCTCTGCTCTCTGCTGGAGTCCCATGATGCCGCCCTTATAAGCCCAGTCTTAGACCAGGTGAATCCCATCTACATATGCCCACACCCTACTCCAGGTGCCTGTCATCAGGCATGCATTCAGGACCACAGGGATCCGTCATCTATCCTAATGGCGGGAGGGCAGAAAAGCCTGATGATATTCACTTACCCTACATGTCACTATCAAACAAATCTCCTTATAAGAACGTTCTTAAACTGAACCCAAGTTTGTATCTTCTGTCTACTGATTCCAGCTCTATCCTTTGGAAACTCGCAAGAATCGAATCCCTCCCTCACAAACACACTTAAAATACTTGAGGACAGCCATCTTCCGCCTGTGGGTATTTTATTCTCTAGGATTAATGTATTTTAAGTTTCTTTCTTTTTTTTAAAGATTTATTTATTTATTTATAAAACTTTTTTTTTTAAGATTTATTTTATATTTATGCATACCAAAGCTGGGGTATAGGCCAGAGGTGTGGGGGGTGAGAGGACTCACCAGAGACAGAGTGGGGAGCAGAACAGGCAGATCAACTGAAAACACTGCTGAGGGGAGCAGTGGGTGAGACAGGAGAGGTCTGCTTTGCCATGTGGGTACCTCCCAGGCTGGCTGGCTGGGGGTCAAACTCATGCTTCAAAGGCTACTGATAACTTCATAGTGCTGTGCTTAACCCCTTGTGCCACCAGGGAGGCCATATTTTAAGTTCCTAACGTGAAAGCCTGTAGGTCGTTGGTCCAGCACATGTTCCCCTCCAACAGGGTCTCCAGAGCCTGGCCTGGTGCCTGGTGCGCAGGGGGCTCTCCATACAACCTATGGAATGAATGGGTGAGCCCACTCCCTCCTTTGAACTCAGTTAAATTATTCTCTTTCCTCTTGGCATGTGGAGACTCAAGCCCCACAGACGGCCAGGAGCTGTGTCAAAAACTGAAATCAATGCAAGTTGGATTAAACTGTAAAAACTTTTGTGCGTGCAGAAGGGCAGCTCTTGAACCAGGAGACTTAAAGCTGAAAGTAGCCAGCGCTCAGAAAACGAGGGTGAGTGACAGCGGGCTCATAAAGCCTGCAGAGGAAGCACTGTGGGGGGAGGCCACTAGAGGGCGCAGTGCTCGCTGAACTCCCTTGTTCTTGGCTGATGGGCCCTGCCACTACAAGCTCACGCGAAAACGTGTATCTAGAGGTATACTTAAACTACAGGCTCCATTTTGGGCTTTTCTTTAACAGTTGTCAACTGGAACATCTAACACCTGGGGGTCTCCTTGGTCACCCTGTCACTCCTGTCTAAAAGGGTGTGCATAGGTGAGCCTATGATGTGGTTGGGGGCAGGAGGTGGTCCAGGTGCCCCTTTAGGATAGCTTAGGCCGGTCACCACTTTAGGGGAAATCAGGCTTGTTTCATGTTTTGGGTCCATGACCGTGTATGTTAGGTCTGTGTGGCTGTATCTAGAGGTATATTCAAACTACAGCCTCCATTTTGGGTTTTTCTTTAACAGTTGTCAACTGGAACATCTAACACCTGGGGGTCTCCTTGGTCATCCAGTCACTCCTGTCTAAAAGGCTTCAGCACAGACCCCAACAGCTGGAGGACTCTGACTGCCGTGTGTGTGTTATTGCTGTCCCTGGGCCCAAGTGTGTCAGGGGTCCAGGCCTCACTGGTGGGGCCCCAGCTTTGTGTGCAGGACCCCGTGTGGCGGTTCCCATGACGGAGCCTGTGGAGGCTGCCGGCTCCTGGCCGTCTGTGCCGCTATCTGCAATCTGTAGCTTTGTCTCCTTCCCATCTGCTGAGGCCTCCCTTGTAATCAGCAGGTGTCTTTCCTCTGAGGGGACCGGGCTCCTCCCTGCTCTTCAGCTGCTCCTTCCTCTCAGCTTCTGAGTGTCTGGACTGGCCAGTCTGTGCACACCTTTGGGTCAGAGAACAAAGACTTTTTTTTGGACATGAGCCAGGCTGGGAAAGTGTCTCTGAGTGTCCCTCAGTCCAGTCAGGCTTTCTGGGACCTCCTCGCAGGCTGGGTTGCTGGGGAACAGAGGGTTTATTCTGAAGTGGGAAAGGGGAGAGAAAATGTATTCCAACCAGACGGAAAGGCAAGAGAGCCATGATTCAGGCATCTGGGGATGTTCAGAGACTTGAAAAGTGTCCCTTGGCCTGTGGGGCCTGTGTGGGAGCTCTGCAGTGCTGCACAGGACACTCCGAGCAGGTTCGCACTGTATCTCTGGCACCTGGTGCATGGCCTGGCACTGCAGGTGTTCAGTGAGCACCTGTCGGATGGATGAGTGAATGAATGAGCAGAAGGTGGCTTCCGGAAACAGCCTGTGTGCTATGGCATTTTCTTCAGACAAGTAAGACCTTTGTCTGGAGTCAAGAGGGACACTGGTTAGAATCCTGACTTCATCATTTACTAGCTTGTGAGGCCAGACCAGTTCACTGGGACCCCCTGAGGCCACTGTCAGGATTCCCTCAGAGGACTTCATAGACCTCAGGCCCAGGGCCTGGCTCTCTGAGGGCTCCATGTTGCTACTTGAAATCTTCTCCTAAGTTGCCTCCCACTTCTTTCTCACCTTATAAAATCTCTAAGATTGAGGAATGCCAGAAGCAACTGCCAGAATCAGTTGAGGGCTCGGGCTCCACACAGCCTGGGAGAGGGGCTGTCCTGGCCCTCCACAGACAGGGGTACATGGACTGAGCAGTGCAGGGAACCCAGAGGAATAAACGAGGAGTTCCTGAACCCCCCATGAGGCCAGCATTTGATGCAACTCCTTTAGGCTCAGGTCAGAGTTCAGGGCATCACCAAGGAGGCTGCCATTGGTTCTATCTGTAAGTCTTGCTCTTTCTTAGCCCCTTTATGCAACCCCAGAGCCCACAGCTGTGGGAAGCAGACTATCTGGCTTTCCTGAAGTCTGAGCAATTGGCAGGTAAGACAACTTTGTTACTTGGATCTGCAAGAATCGCAGAGGCTTAGTTTGTCCTCTCACAGGGACACCATGCTTGTGGGCATCACAAATAGACTCTCTGTCTTCCATGCGATTCCCCTCCTCCACATTTTAGCACTTTCCTTTGGAAAGCAAGGATCTGAGAGAAAAGATGCAATAGTGGGAAGGGACCAGCAGTTTTGAGTGTGGGCAGGTCCCAGCCCCTGCTGGATTTTTGTGTGTGTAAGGTGTGCGCATAGGTGAGCCTATGATGTGGTTGGGTACAAGAGGTGGTCCAGGTGCCCCTTTAAGTAGGCCTCTTTTGTCATTGCTGTTCTATGCATGGTGAGGTCTTTTTTTTCAATTTCTATTCCAGATTTTCCAAAAAAAGGAGAACATGGACAGTAGGTGGTTGGGTAGTAGAGAGGAAAGAACACATGTTAAGTCAGATATCAGCCTTAGGATCAGCTTTATTCTGTATTTTACCTTTACCAGGGAGAAAAAGGCAAAGAAGTTGCAGAGACTAGCCTGCACCGCACAGACATAAATCACATCTCCAAAGAATGTACATGACAGAAATGAAGGGCTCACAGCAGACCAGCCACGAAGCACAAAGATCAGCCAGGCCCCAGCCATCCCTTCTCATGCTTCCTTATTGGATGTTTGGTTTTAGTAATGTAATACTTTCATTTCATTTTCAAGAGCACATTCAGCATTCAAATGTCCAATCGATCGCTGTTCTTTTTTTATGATGCAGAGACAAAATGGCTCAATTCTTGGTTTTTGCACCACCACCAACTTCTCCACACCCATGGGGGTAGTGGTCAGTGCAAAGTCCATCAACTTTCAGGTTTTTTTGAGGCTTGAATGAAAGCCTGACACCCTGAGAGATAGCTGTCAGCGTCCTTGGCTGTTACCCACCCAGGGCAGGTGAATTTTTGCCCTAAGGAGCTGTACTAGGCATCGGCGAGCTCCTCTGACAGCCACACTATCCCTGTGGCTGAGATCTTCTACTAGACTGCTGAAACAACACTTAGTCACAAAGGTTGATGAAATAGAGGGAACTGTTTTTACAGACACAGACCAAGTCCTGGAATGCTGAAGAAGTCAGGAGGCAAAAGCAGGCTGCACACAGAGGTACCCACATGGGAGAAGGTCACCATAGCATGGATGGGGCTTGGGGCTTCACCTGTGGGCCATCTTCTTGACCCCAGATAGCAGTAGGAGCAGCTACTTTCCTTTGCCAGGTGGTGAGCACTTCTCCTGGACTTTCTGTGGGCAAGCCTCCACGCATTTTGACTGGGATGTCTCCTGGCATGGCTCTACACACTGAGGTGGGCATTGGTCTTGGCATGGAGGTAGGCATGGATCTTGACTTTGCAGTGGGCAGCTTTCTTGGGTTAACTCTTGGCACTGAGTAAGACACACCTCCTGGGCTTGCACCAGGCATTTGTCCTGGCAGAGGTCCTGGCTTGTGGGGAGGCACACCTCCTCAGCCTTTGCCTGGCATGGCTCTTGGGTCTTTTGAAGACACGGAGGAAGGGTGCATGGCTGCTTGCTCTGTTGCTCATTAAAGGACATCCTAGGGTGATTTGTAGAACCTGAAACAAACACATGATTTGAAATTATCTGCATTAACAGTACTAGGCTGGGAACTGGGGGAATGAAAGGTTGGTAGAGGGGAATAGGAAGTGAATGACTATTAGCCTTAAGAAGGCATGTCTGGGCCTCCCCGGTGGCACAGCGGTTGAGCGCTGGGTTGGTTGCAAAGCTGCCCACAGCCTCTGAAGCACCAGTTCAATCCCTGGCCACCAGGCGAGGGTCCCACATGGCGCGCAGACCTCTCCTGCCGCCCGCTGCTCCCCTCAGCAGTGTATTTCGTCCGTTTGTCTGTTCTGCTCCCTGCTCTGGCTCTGGTGAATTCTCTCACCCTCCTGCACTTCTGACTGTACCCCGTGCTTGTATAAATAATTAATTAAATAAATAAATCTTTTTTAAAAAAAAAAAAGAAGGCATGTCTCTGCTGCTATTCAGCCATTTCTCTTCTCTATCCCTACTTCCACTTCCTCTGATACCCATTTCCTATATTCACATAACTTTTGTCTGGATATCATTGCCCCAACTCCAGTCCTACTACAGGTCTTTTCCTTCTCTTCTGTTTGATGAATCTTTTTGAAAATCAGCTGCGAAAGACTAGATAGAATGTACAGGATGGTATTAAAGGCCCAATAAATGACAAAACATTGAAAAAAATCAGCAGAAAGTAGAGTCCAGGGGAGGAACAGAACAATAATCTCTTGGAGATAGAACAGCTAGAGAGAGCAAAATTTAGTTGTGCCCACTTACCTAACTCCAATAAGATTCAACAAAGGATGTGGACTGTGGAACACATCAAGGCAGGGGCTTTTATATAGTGCTTAGTCCAGCCTCCCAGGACTGACTGGCCATGTGGGCTGAGGTCCTAATTGTGTAGTCACCGTAACGAGCTTCCTCTGAAATTGCCCATGGTTTGAGTCACTGCTTGGGATGCCTGTTAATCAGCCTCCATTTTGGCCTCTGGGTCCTCACCAGACCTCAACAGGGAGGGGCTCCTCTCAGATCTCTCTCATTAGAGGCAGCAGCAAAAAATGTTCATAAAATGTTATCTCAGTTTGTTAAACTAAGATTGGGTTCCTTGTCTGACCAAACTGGTTCAGGATGTGATGTGAGATAAGATTTGACTTGCTCATCTCATCTTCGCCAATGGGAAGATTTTATGTCTAAACCCTGGGGTCTGTCTGGGTCAAGGGCATGTACAACCTGTTTCAACCTCTTCTTCTAGCCTAGAAAGGCACACTTGCAGACCCCAGGAAGATGATTTGTACTTTGGTCCCAAGGAAAGAACCTGCAACCTCCTGGAGAGAGTAGTTTTCCTGTTTGGAGGTCTTAGGGAAATTGGGGTCACCCGTCACTCTTGGGCAGTGCAGGGAACAGGGATGAGAGAGAAGGCAGCTAATGGTCATCCTCTCAGCTTGACTTTATGACACACCTAAAAGTAGAGTTACTCACAGTTTCATAGTGTCCAAGAAAATGGAATAGGTTAGCGTGCCTCCTTGTCTTCTGCAGAATCTTTTCTTAGAGCCCAGGTCAATAAAAGTCAAGGGGATGAAAGGAAAAGTTTCATGGCAAACACACCCAGTTCTCTCCACCTCTGAGTTTTTGTTTGGGCTGTCAGTTCTCTCTGTGTGACCTCCCTTTCTGGGTCTGTAAAAACCCTCAGCACTTGTCAAGGTTACATTCAAACCTTCCTTACATGAGCCTTTCCTGATTAAATCATAGATGAACTCACTTTTTTCTGTTTGTTACTTGTATGATATTTATTATTGCTATTAGGAATTCCAGTTATTTATGGTTAAGCTATTATTAATACCCTGGGTTTCAGGTTTCTAGAGGGCAGTGTCTTTGCCATTCACAGTCAATGGATGAGTGACTCCATGTAATTGTTGATGGCGTACATATATTCACATAGGAATGAGGGGGTGACTGTGGGAGACAAGTGGGAGTAGAGGAGGCTCTCATGTGATAGAAAATGGGTAATAATAATCATGAAATGAGACTCTCATCCATAAAGTGGTGGCCTTGTGCTTATCTGCTGAAGTTGACCAAATTCCAAGGACTTTAATGGCAATGGCCTCCTTAACCTGAAGAGGTATGTTTAGGTCATCCTAAGAGAATGATTTGGCTAAAATCAGAAATGCCCTCAAGGGTTTATGTACTTTTTGGATGTTTGATCCCTGAAAAGATTTTAAAAGTTGAGCCAGGGGAGACCAGGTGACATTTTTGTCTCCAGGACCGGTGTATGTATCGATGGAGTGCCACTGTGACCCCTTGGTGTCCTGGTAAGTGACAGATGCCCGAGTGGGGTGGGGTAAGAGGCAGGGGATGTGCTGCTCTTCCTGTGAGAGACATGTTGCCCCAGAGGGTGGAGTGGGTGAGGGGCTGCAACGGGTGAAGGAGAGCCATAGGGAGACCTGAGCATCTGTGGAAACAAAGTCATTAGGGGACTCTGGGAAATGGATGGCCAGGTATAGGAGAGGGGGCTCTGCTTCTTTTTCTTCTCCTTCTCCTCTTTTTTCATCTCCTTCCATTTTTTCCTCTCCCACTTCATCTCCTTCATCTTTCCTATGAGAAGCTGTCTGAGAGATAAGGCTTCCTAGGAGGTAAGGAATTTTCCATGGTAGAATTCATTCATTTGTTTGTTCAGTCATTCATGACCCTATTTTCAAGGGGCTCACAGTCTCATGGGGAAGATGTACGGAAGTGAACCTCCCTGCCCCAGAAGATGGCCCCTTCATTAGTCTTGGCTGGAAAGTCCTGGAAGACTCCTGGGGGAGCAGATGTCTGTGCTGTGTTCCCCTGGACAGTAGAAGAGGGTGGGAGAGGGCATTCTTGGCAGGCTTGTGTAAGAAATCCTTTTTCAGTTTTTGAGATGAATGGAGAATCTGAGGCTAATTCAGGAAAGGGACAGGTGAGCAATTGTGGAAAGAAGCCTGCACGGTTGAGATTTCCAGAAGTTTTCTGCAGCAAGATGCATGAGATGACCCTGCTCACACCACATGCATTACTTGCCTTTGATTAATCCTAAGGGATGAGACCAAACAGGGATGTATGGAACAATGGAGAAACAGGTCATTCTCATGAGGGGCAGGGGTTGATTAGGAAGAACCAGGAGTTTAACTCCTCTCTCCCTGACATTGAGGACAATCAAAGTGGGCCCACTGTCACCACAAGGGTCTTTCAGTGTGGAAATGGGTACAGAGCCAGAGAGATTCCAATTGAGAAAGACTTGACTGGCTATTGCTGGTTTCAAAGATAAAGGGCAACCATGAGCTGGATGCGGACCATTTGTAGAAACTGGAAAAGACAACAAAACAGATTCTTCCCTAAAATCTCTAGAAAGAAACGTAGCCCTGTTGGTATTTTTTTTGATTTTAGCCCAAAGAGATGTGTGTCAGGCTTCTGACTTTGAGAACTGTACGAGAGTATACATTTCTCTTGCCACTTTGAGCCACTGCACTGGTAACTTGTTATAGCAGCAACAGGAAACTAATACACCTTTCCAATGTCTGAAGCCCTTGAGAACTCTGGAGGAGCAGTCTCAAATGAAGATATCAAATCCCAGCTTTGTACCTCCTCATTAAAGTAAGTATATACTTGTCATGTCAGCCCCCT